CCAAGATATACACAAATGCGTTGCGCGAGCGAGCTGAAACAATTGGGAGTTCGCTGTTTGTATGAGCTTCTTTGTAAAATTCGCGTCGCTCGTCGATCACCTTCCTGCTTATTTCCGAAGCTCTTTTCGACAACAAATTGTCTCTTTTGAAACCTTCAGTCGTTAATTAAAGGAAAGAAATAAATGTCCGGTGCATTTGTTTTGTGTTATCTTGGAATCACTCGGTTCTTTAATCGGCTCTCAGCACGAGTTTTGATCGATCAATTCTCGCACGATCTCGATCGTCGTTATCTCGAAACTGAGAGTATAACATAACGAGGAGAGAGAGAGAGAGAGAGAGAGAGAGAGAGAGAGAGAGAAAGGTAAAGAGGGGAGAGAAAGAGAAACTATATACGCGCGCGGATATACTACAGGCCCATCGGTAAATGGATGGATGAATCTGGGCGAAAAAGGGTGCCTTTGAACGAGTCCGTTGCTGCCAGATTAATTAACGAAGCACTCGCCGGGGGCCGGAGGAGGATCAGCAACTCCGTTATCAGGGTAGAGAGCTAATAGACAGATACCCCTGCCTACTTATCTATCAGTCTACCTCTCGATCAACCGCCTTCTCATCGATCGGCGAATGCTTTCCTTTGGTTTCGTGTCTATTGTTAATTAATCGCTCGTGCCACGACAATTATCAATATCGACCGCCTGTGCGGCATTATTTTGTCGCCGAGCAACGATCTCCTACTTATCATTCGCGAGATAGAAATTCTCGCGAATAGAATATTCTCGAGGAAAATATATAATTTTATAATAATAAATACAATAATTTCATCTTTCTTTTCGTGTCTGATATTAATACAAAGTTCAAATACACAGGTTGTGCTCGATATTCAAGGAAATAATAAAATAATATTAATAAATAATGAATAATGAAATAATATTACAATATACGGAAATATATAATATTAACGAATAAGCAGAAATCTCGTGGTGATTCCCGTAGAATTCCGTCATAGCCAGGAATGAGTTGAACGGTAATAATCGTCGCATCGAAATCGCCGACCGTTTATCTCGCGTTACATATAGATCCGCCAAAGATCTCGAAGCGTCCATCTAAGTAATTACTGAAGCTTAGGAGCGTCGGAGTTGGGGGCCCGAGCAATGGTGATTAAACGTGAGATAAGATACAAGCGCTCTCCCCGTCCGCACATGCGATACGGACGTGGTTCTTTCACGTGTTAAACCGAGTCCCTTAATTGAAGTAGCAGTCTTTTGAATATTCTTAATGACATATACTACATAAAACGATATAACGCACCAGCAAATTACGGCTCTCGAGCACGCGAGATTCTTGAGTCATACGCAATATCTGAAGTATAATGTTTGCCGTGACATTTTCATTTTTTTTGTTTAACGATTCTGAAACTGTTGTTAATCATTCGTATACATTCGTGACGCTTAACTCGATCAATCTACGTTTAATTACGTCATCCTTAAGCCTGAACGATCGTATCAACTTTCAATTCTTTTTTAATATCACGCGTAAAAGAAAGTGTGAGAGGAGAGAAGTCGCGACATCCGATGTGATATTTCTTCTCCCAGATTAATTCGCGAAAGGACTGACGCACGCAAATGCGCGGCCTTTCTCCGCGCTAATAGACTCGTCTGGTCTCTTGCGCTTTCGCTTTCTAAAGCACAACGTTGACCCCAGCGTTCTGGGGATAATCGACTGAAAATAACCCCAAGAGACGAGCACCGGGGACCCCCCTGGGTCCCTGATAGACTCGCTCTTCAATACAGCTCGGTGCATCTGTTCCTTTTGAAGAGAACGAATGACTCCGACAATTAGAGGAGCAGCAGAAATCCGATCGAAAGACTGCGCCTCCGCACGACCTACGTCTTATTTCTCGCTTACAATGATCGGGATCGCCGAGATTACACGATACATACATCTGCGGGGGATTTTATTCACGTAGAGTAGAGAGACACCGCACCACTTTCGGTGAACCCTGACAAGCACGAGTGAATTTAACGCAGATAAAGCACGATATATTGCTTGTACCTTAACAATTTCAACTGGTTTTAATTATTCCAACAAACGGGAGAATTTTGTTGCAGAAAGATATTCCCAACTGCTTTTTCTCTTCACTGAACCGTAGCGTTTGGCAGTTTTCTCTTTTAAATTAAAAAGTGGATTTTGCGAGAACACGAACACATTTCTCCAGAATTAAAATAATTATACAATAAACGGGAAACAAGATATATGTGTACTTATAATACTTGTACAACGTCTGAGGTAAAAAAAACATATTTAACCCCTCTATTATGATGGTCGAGGGTCGACGTTGGAATACAGTATATAGTGTATAGTCAGACACATAATTGGTGTCTTTCCTCATAGAATTTCTAACAATTAAAGCATTTGCATAACGATAGCGTGTCGGGAATATCTTTTCATCAAAATGATGAGCAGCTAGCGTGGGGCTATGTATTATATACATAAGCTGATAGATGGTCGGGGACGGACACGCTAGGGGTTTGTTCGTTTATAATACTCACCCCTAGCTATACAATATAAGCACGCTGAAGGAAGTGACTTTCTGCTTGATTCAAGCTTAAAACCGCCATGTGTTAATTTGTCTCTCTGTCTCGCTGTGTTAGAACGCCTCTGTGTGCGAAGCCTACGGATAAAAGACGAGCGTTTTCCAACCGTGGAAAGAGATATCGGCAATTGTTATCGCAATCTATGCAAGAGCTCAACGGGAGTAAATAGCAACGCATTATTGCAGGGGGCAGCTCGACCGAAAGACGCCCGCGGGAAAACGGAAAGAGCCGGCTTTAAAAGCGAACTGATTGCGAGCATAGCAGCGTCGTGATTACCGAAGCGCAGTCTGCGATCGGCGCGGTTCGCGGTTGAGCGAAAGTGCTAAACGACCAATAAGGAAGTAATAGCAATACACACAGAAGGCAGCCAGAGAGTCGTGGCGACGGCGACGATGTCAATGGTGAGGGGGTCGAACCGAGGAAGGGGTGACTCCGCGTGCAATTACGGATTTTGAGTGACAGATGCTCGCCCAGTCGGCAGTCGGAAGATTAAAACAAGTAATCAAAGTCCCGGTAGCCACCCCGGGATGGATATGGATGGATGCACGCCTCCGGCCTTCCCCTTGCCTCTTCGCCCTTCTCTCACGCGTTTACTCTCTCTCTCTCTCCCCCCCCCCCTCTTTCCATCCTCCTGTTACCCCGTGCACCTCCTTTTAGCCCTCGACCCCCTTCGTCCTCCCATCCTGTCGTCGTGTCTCCTCACTTCGAGTCCCCGTACCTCGCGAATTCTCCTCCTTTACTCATCTTACTCCCTCTTGGAAGAAGCAAACCACCAAGGATAAGCCCTGCTACCATAATATCCACCTATAGCCGTCATCAAGGCGCGCCCTGAATGCTCCTTTAAGAAAATGTTCCTTTCGCGAGCAGTCGCGTAGGAAAGTTATTAGGCGTCTTGAAGAGGCGAGTGAGAGAGAGTTGGGAGAGAGGGGGAGAGAAAGAGACCTAGGGATGAGTTATATTCAAACGACGCGAGTATTCTCTACCCTACTTAAAGTGCTAAAAATACATACAATATATCGGTAACAGAGACTTCGAAGTTCATTCTTTGCCTTACAGAAAAGGCAAGCAATAAACGACGACGACCGTTATCACTGCGATAATTATGTAACGTCAGATTCGGCTAAAAATAACGACTAAAGTAAAAATTAATGCGTAACACTTGCTGAAGATCGTTTAGAGAGATGTGGGCGCAATTACGACCCGAAACCTTATTGTTACACGCTCGGCTGTCCTACAATGGAAGTACCATAAATCGAGGGCGATGAACAAGAAATCCCTCGATTAGACTCGACGATACAATGCTGCGATATAATCTGACCACTTAATAGGCAAAATATAATAGTGAATTGGACGATTACACTCTCGCAATTCTGTCGCGTGGCGAAAAGCACAAAGCGAATCATTATTTCGGAGAAACTGATGAGAATATCGCACGTGATTGCGAATGCGCTTTTCATGACTTAGTGCACGTTCGCGTTAATACTGGCGGAAATTAATGAAAATCATGTCGACAGGCCATATAAAATTTGCTCTCTATCAAACTTTGATTGCTTAATGAATTTTACCTTATTGCATGAACAAATCTTTCCAAAATATTAACATGGAGATAAAACATTCTCCTTTTCAGTTTCCATTTTTGTGCCGATGTACTTTTCCACCTATTTTACACTTTGCGACGATAATGAGACCACGCATTGCGCAACACACGACTTGTTGAAGCGCGGCGGTAACGTGCGAAACGCGAACACGCTACACGGCGGTGACGCGAATGTGATTAGTCTCGAGATTTTCACGCGCGCGAGCAAACGGGACGAGGCGGGGCGAAGGAGGCGAGAACCAGGGTTGGATTTGACGGAGTGCGGGGTATCCGCGCAGGATGAGCCGTTTATCTCAGGCATCGCTTTTCAGTTTTTCTCCCTCTCGCGATGTGCGACGCTCTCGCCGGGAGACTACGTCTCTGGTTACTTGATCCCTTCCTCCAGGATGTTCCCTGAGCTGGTGTTCCCCGACCATCGGCGCGTATATCCTCCTCGCGAAATAATAAGCTCGCTCCAGTAAATTTATCATGAGGCCTCTTAGGAAGCAGCCTCCTAAAGCAGCCGGCGCTCTCGTGACCTTACTCGATTCGTCCGTCTCGCAGCGATATGCCACAGAATATTAGCGATATTTGTCAGTAATTCAAATCCTCAATAAATGTCGCGCACTTATTGAGGTAACTGCAACATCTGGAATATTTTTTTTTCATTCTTAATGATTATCCCCTTGCACTGGAATCACGTTTCCCGAACATACCACACATCTCTACATATATACTATATTTGCATTTTACATATATATGTATATATGTATCAAATATATTTATATTATATATGCTACAATCGAGTCAAAATTGTCAGAAATCTCAGAAATATAACTCTGTATCTTATTTTATTCTGAGTGTCAATAAACAAGTATACACGGCCTGCACAAATGCCAATTCAACGCCAACACAAGAGGTTAAGATACAGAGACATACCGTTAATGTTTGATACAGATTATCGCTATTGTTTTACTGTCAATATTGCATAATATAACAATTTTCAATTTCATTTACTTCACTCTGCGTCCTAATTATCTTACGGCAACCGCACTCCCGACGAATACTCTCGTATTTCGATGTAAATTTAGCAACCATCCTAATTGCTCTTCATATTCTATTACATCTTCATGTAAATTGTCCAACAATTGCCACGACAATTTTTCAACCGTGTTAACCGTGTTAACCATAAATATATTTTCTATTGTAAAAAAATAGAATTATTCCATGTAGAAAAAATTCAACGTGAAATCTTTATCTCCCACGTTTCTCTAATATTGGCTTAAAAAAAAACAATTAATCAATCAACACAAGATTGCTCTTTCCCTTTTGCTATTCACTCACTACTCGACTCTTAAGCTATTTGTGCCACCTGCATACTCTCATATATCTTTACTTTCCCTTACTGAAGCCCATTGTACACACTCACACAAAAGAACTTACACATTATATGCATACAAAAGAACAAACATATTGTGTACGTAAAATATATAACATTGACGTCACATATTTTAAATATTCTACTCGTTTTATATAATCATTTTACACAATCAATGGACATATCGGTCCTATGATTTTACATTGTATATTGTATATTGTATTAGCTATATCATATGGTGCATTATATTAGTAAATTCAATTATATACGATTGAGATAAAATCGCTAAGCACGCTCAATTAGTCGATTCGAAGTACTCTTTGCTATCCTTTGGATTTGGTTTGATAGTTTTACTCTCTGGTTGCCAGTTTGCAGGGCATACTTCTCCATGCTCCTCCACAAATTGGAAAGCCTTGATTAATCTTAACGTTTCCTCAACACTTCTGCCGACTGGAAGATCATTGACACTAAACTGTACAAGTATTCCTTCTTTATTTATGATGAAGAGACCTCGAGATGCAACTCCAGATTCTTCTAGCAAAACGTTGTATCTGGCTGATATCTCCTTTTTAAAATCACTCAACAGAGGATAACCCAAATCTCCCCCAAGACCACCTTGCTTTCTAGGTGTATTGATCCATGCCAGGTGACTGAAGTGCGAATCTGTTGAAACTCCAATCACCTGTGTATTGAGAGCTTCAAAGTCTTTAACTTTCTCGCTAAATGCTATAATCTCTGTGGGGCAGACAAATGTACTGCAAACAAAATATAGAGAAATCATATTGTAGACACATTTAACAGATGTCTTATATAATAATTCAGTGAGATTGCATACAAATCTAATGGATAGAAAAACAAGACCACATATTTTCCTTTGTAGTCATTCAATTTGATTTCTTTAAAGTCTCCTTTAACTACTGCGGTGCCACAAAACTCTGGTGCAGGTTTCTGAATCTGTGGCAAACTGTTGAGCAGTCTCGAACTCACTGTGAAATTACGAATGCATTCTACCAGTGCTATATTATTTTTCCTTACCAATGAACTAGCTCCAGTGACAACCTGTGAATATACATATTGAAAACAGACAAAAATTCTATTATTAGTTACATTAACATATATCTATTGCAGAAAATAACTACGTTTGCATATGATGAATCAGCAAAATATTTTGTCTCTATTAATATGACAGAATATATAATAAATTCTAAGAATAATACTTACTAATTTTCTACCTTGTGGGCACAGTGAAGTCAGTAATCGGAGCATTGTAACTAAAAATATTTACAAAAACTACTATACAATTATTCGTAGAACTTATAAAATCGTAAAACTTAAAAATGCAGACGCTAAATAGGTTTCTCTAACCACTCTTATTGATGCGCAAGTAGCGTGTGCAGACCCAACAGCCGGTAAGTTCCACTCATAGTACGAAAGGTTATGAAATGCTTGACATGCGCGCAAGGTAACGTTGAGAGTACAAAAAGTGCAATTTTATAAATTCTTTTTCATTATATATTAAACGATAGGCAGTCGAATATCTACGATAAAACATAAAGATAAATACAAAATTGGCAAAAAGAAGTTGGCAGCATTTACTCAAATGAAATGAAAATTATATACTGCTATACATTTAGAAATCATAATTTTCACCACAGAAAATTAACATATACCAACATATGTGAAAATTTTTTGTTATTAGTTATAATGAATAAAGTATTCACGAGATATTGTAAGAAGTTCATAAGCTCTGTGAAAGCAGTTAACATGATCACATATTTATTCCAATAACAACAATATAGGAGTCTCATTTTCATTCTTATTAAATGAGTAAATATATGTACATATTTTGTTATATATATATATATATATAATATATATATATATACATATGTACATACACATATATATATATATACACATACACACATATTTATGTTATGCAAATTCGCGCACAAATAATCACTATCAAAAATGCCTGACTATTCATTGTATTGTTTCTATCGCATTATGTATATGCACTTTAAATTAATACTTATAACAAAACTATTTATACATTATCTAAAATTAAATGTTTCACTTAAAAAAATACTATTAAACGAAAATATTAGGAAATTGCTTTGTGGTGGATATTTTTCTTTTCCGGTTATAATTCTCAAGACGAGAATTATAAAAACTTGGGATTAATGTAAAGCAATGAAGAAATAGCTTATGAGATAGAGATAACAAATTGTGATAATCGGGAGCTGCATTATGTTACGAGTTTTGTTAGACCTTATAGAGTGCGGATATTTCTCCGGAACAGCCAACTTCCTTTACCAATTCGTTAAGAAGACAAATAATCACAATGTGCGTTATCCCTTGATAAACGCGAAGTAATGCACGTCCCTAATCGCGCACGTTACATCAGTTCGAATAAAATTTTGTTTTAATTGGAAGCCGTAGCGGTCGCGCTTGGAGCAGGAGCAGTAGAAGCTGACGCAGTAGCAGTCTCTTCCGTAACGACGCGTCGATTTTTCTTTATCCTTTTCCATTCTCCGTTCATGTAATTCATCTGGAAATGAGTTTCCACCAGCATCTGAACAGTCGTGCCGTCCGCTTGCGTTACTTCCTCTACGTTCTCCGATAACATCACTGTGACTATATTGCCCAACTTCGGGCAAGGATTATCTGCAAAGCAAAATCAAAGGCAATATTAACAAGTTAATTCTAAATCGTCAAAGATTTTTCAATTTCAACAAACATACCCCTAGAGCCGGCCATGAAACCTAAGATGAGAGCTTTCTCTGGACGCGTTACTTTATTCGCAGTTCTAAACATCTCCTGTGCCTCCAACATTTGTTCTCGCTAAAATTCACAAAAGTAAACAATGAGTGTTTTACAATGCGTACATACATACATACACACAACTGAATAAAATGTCGTGCAGCTGCTTACCGTAAGAGATAGGCCTTTCCTTGTATTAGCCGCCACACCAGGCTGCGTAGTGGTCTGTATACGAATTTGCGTAACTGTTTGAGTCGGTCTGACCGTTTGTACAGCGACAGGCGTAGTTTCCACTGGTGTTATTACCGTTGTCGTAACTACTGGCAATACAGTAGTGGGCGTCGTGGGTGTGGTTAATGTAGTAGCTATATAATACAAAAAATCTCATCAAAGTCTATATGAGACAATGTTTTACAAGCTAGGACACGTAATTATGTAAGGATCTTACATGTTGTTGATGCAGTCGTAACAACGATACTACTTGGTGTATTAGGCGCGACGTAAGATTGTGTCGTGACCACCGGCGCGACAGGGGTGGCAGGTGGATTTATCGGGGCCAGTCCTTGAGCGTATTCTGGAGTTACAGGAGTTTCTACTACTGGCGAAACAGCCGTAGCTGAAGCAGCAGCCGCAGCCGCTGCTTGAGCCTCTGCGACCTTTTTCTGCTGTTCTTCCAACTCCAGCATCTTTTTCCTCTTCTTTGCTTGAGCATACCCAAGTGGTTGTTCGTTAATGTCTAATAACTTGATACCACCATCCTTTCGCATTCTACTGCTAATTGGTGTTCTGTTGGACATGGTGGAACTAGTGAGTGAAGAAGACCGGAAACCGCTCGTTGGAACTCTACTAGGAATGCCTTTGAGAGGTGCTGAAAAATTTAAATGCATATAATATATTGTTAAGATTGTATAAGAAACAATAAGTGTGTAAGTGTATTACTTGTGTCAGTCATTTTTCTTGGCATTCCACGACTTCTTACAGGTACAGTAGGAGCTGTGCTCTTTTTGAGATTATTAGCAGCATCTGTGCTCTTCTGAAGCAATTCTGCCCTCAAGGCTGCACTCTTTGGCTTCCTTTTAAGAGTAAAATGTTTGACTGGTGTAGGTTGCTGACCTACCACCGAGGTTAATGCAGTCTTGTTAAGATAATGACATTCCAAAGGAAGCATAGCTGGATCATTCTGCTTCTTCAGAAGTTTCCGTAAATCATTGACTAATTCCCCAAAGATTGGTCTATGTTCTTCCAAGTCACTGATATCTGTGTTCAATGAACCCGTTGATGGAAAAGTCTTCATCGCTTCGGATAACATCGATACCCATAGCTCTCCATCCAATATTGCAACCTCAATAATTTCCTCCAGTTCCACACGCCACTATCAACATCAATTTTGTGACTAATAATGATTAAGTCTTGATCAAATAAGCATTAAAGAAAGATAAGGAAAGAAACAATACAAGTTTGTTTATACATATAATTATATATGTCTATTCATGAAATTTCCTTGTGATAAAAATAGAAGGAAAAGTCATAAACAATACCATAAAGCATAAATGATAAATGAAGAAATCATAGTTCTATAAGTATATTGTATAGTTCTATAATTCTATATAGGAAAATCCCTATACTAAACATTTCAAAAACATCATGGAGAATCAAAAGAAGTTAAATAGATGGCGGGTAGATGATAAACGTTCGACGCTAATTTAATGCGCGTAACAATCTTGTAATAATCGAAAAAATGATTCGCCAGGAGTATCGGTGATAACAGGCGAGGAAACACGTAGTATTACATGTGCTCGCTTACCTCCTCGACATTCCGTCTGGGTATGTGGAAGAACGAGAGTAGTAGTTTAAGCTTAACCTGCGTCTGCAGATCAGGAAAACAATCCTTGATGTTTCGCAATACCTCGGCATTGAGCTGCGAGCAAATCGAGCTACCAGTCCAGCTATCGTTCGACGTACCGAGTTTGTTATGCAGCCACAACGACGTATCACTGTCTCTAACGTTCGCCATATTGGAGTCGTTTGCTTCTCGCGGTCGACGTACCTCGTCCTCGTCGCCGCAGCCGCGCCACGTGCACTTTCCCGCCATAAAACAATGCGCAGGCGCCACTTGCAACAGTGCAACAAGCTGCAATGGCGAACGTTTACTACCAACTGAAGTGAATTGCGTACTTATTCCTTGATTGGCTTTTGAATTGGAAACAAGACGATGACAAACACAACAAACGGATTTACAGCTTCGCAGGAGTCCGTGTTATTTGATGAAGATACTTTTAGTGAAATACAAACAGATCTGTAAGTAATAACTACCAAAATATACCGGTTACTTTCATCGGCGTCCTTTTGTCCCTTTGTGTTCGAACGTAGTCCAAGTACAAACGATGTTTCAATTTTGCAATGTATATATGAAGCATCGCGATGTATTCTATTGTTTTATGTTTCATTTTTGTTTCTTCTCTGCAGTAAAAGCACATTATCATTATTATTGGATGACAAAGATCTGTTTGGAGGATTCAAACGAAGCATTTCAGATATTTCTGATATTGAACAATTAGCGTTTCCGAATGAGTGGAAAAGAATAAAAAAGGAAGAAAACGAAGAGATGACTCCATTGCCAGAAATAACACAACTTGATGATACTTTTGGTGGAAAGCTAAATTTTCAATATAGCTTCGCTGATGATGGTACTGGCCAGGATTGGGTTGTAAGTATCTTAGATTTAATAAGCAAGAACTTAGATTATATTATATTATTTTTTTCTAATATAGTGATCAAGATAGATACTGTGCCTTCAGCTCATCCTTAAGTATATACAGCTATATCGCACAAATATATATTATATTAGATTATAATTTGTTATATATATTATATGTATATAATTATATAAATCTATGAATAAAATACACATTAAAAAAAATCACTTAATTATAGGGATATGAAGTTTGATTTAGATTTTCTGGTACTTTCACATATAAAATTGAATAAAGTTAATTGTCAAATAATATATAACTATTTGCATATTAATTCTGCCTCTTGATGATAAATATATTTTCAAAGTTTTTACTATGCTGGTTATATTACATAATTTTCATAGGGGAAATTCCATATAAACTACAAATCTCTTAAATATCATCTTATAATACGCATGAAGCTATGAGAAGGTACTAAAAGTAAGATATCTTGATAAACCATTTTATATTTTGCTATTAAAGTAAATTATTAATTTCTCACAAAAGTATTGATGAATCTGCTTAAATCTAAATCAGATTTACAAAAGATATTAATGTACTGAATTATCTGTAAAATATTTAAGCAGATTTTGTACGTATCTGTGTAGTAGATAGACCAGGTAGAAGTATGCATGACTTAGAAGTGTGCATAACATGATCTTACAAATTATGTGTAATTATATATTTCTTAGATTTTATGATTTTTTATGATCGATATAAGATACTTGCAATTGAAGTTGTTTATATAGCATTAATCTAATCTTTGTATCACTTTCTTACATCTAGTACTCCCAAAGTTTGGATAAACTCTTTATAAAAATGGAGAAAGTTCTACCTTTAAGATTTATGTGGGATCCACCTATGGAGGGATTATATTTACGCACTGCAATGATGTTCAAGCTGGAGCAATATAGAAATGATCCTGTTAGAAGATGCTACAATCATGCAGCAACAACCTATAGTACTAATCAAAACATGGATCCAACTAGAATAAAACATGTAGTTCACTGTGTAAATCATTCTTCGTCTATATATATAGAGGAAAATGAACATCTTTCCGTTTTAACTCCACTTTGCACACCTGAGGCTGGTTCATCTTACATGCCGATGTGCTATAAATTTTTTTGTAAAAATAGCTGCCCTTCTGGCATGAATCGAAGGCCAACGGAATTAGTGTTCACATTAGAAAGTTCTGGAGGCAAAGTTTTGGGCCGTCGTAAGTTGTTAATTAGAATATGTAGTTGTCCTAAGCGAGATAAAAAGAAAGAAGAACGGGAATTAGTACCTGAAAATCCACCTAACAATCACTTGACCAAACGTAACTCAAAACATCCTATGCATTCCGGTAAAAAGATGTCGTGTGACATCTATAAAATCGAGTTGAATATCATAGGCAAAGAAAATTATTTGGCTGTACTTAAGTATGCTTACGACATAATGGCTGGTCAGGCAATGAAGACGGGCCAATATGAACTTTTTAAACCATACATGGATGATATACTCCATAATGTGCCTTGATACATGCCTTATGTGTGATTTATATTTCATTTTATTTCATCCATTGACTTAATTTTAAAATTTATCAAAAATTCTTTTTATATTTTGATAATTTGTTTAAGTTCAACTTATAAGTTCATGATTCAACTTATAAGTTTTAATTTTTAATGCTAACAAACTTATTTTAAAAATGTTACAATGTTTTTCCTTTTTTACAATATCTTTGCATGTTTCTTTTATAACACTGATTTATTATTCATGTACGAGAAAAAATATTGAGCAAGACGATAAAGCTAAGAATTATGTTGACATTAATGATAAAAAATCAACTGACAATATTAAATTTAACATTAAATTTAACTTTAACGTGTTACTCAATAACTTATCAGAATAAGGTATATGTCAGAAATAATATTATATATTATGTTCTATCATTTTCTTCGTATTTTTGTGATAAATATAAGTAATAATATGATACTATGGAGTCTTTGCGGATTCCATTACTTGTTAATCTATAATATTATATCAAGAAAAAATAAATTTGCATGTTACATATTACACTGTTCCCTTATCGAGTACTTCAATGCACATTTCACTCATGAAGATGATAAGTTTAATTAAAACAAAGTTATCGGTGCGTTGTATCTCATGCGTAGAATCTATCGTCAACTTGTTGATTAACAATACGTATATTGAGGGCTCGCATCGATAGTGAGTTCGGCAACGGTGCGATGTATTGCGAAGACAGCGTGACAGGATGCTCGAGATACGCGATGTATCGCCGTAAATATATTTCCAATCCATTGTCGGTCCAAGTGTGCAATGTCCATTCTGCCACGTTATTCGCGTACGCCATTGTAGAACATGTCATCCACGCCGATTGCATTGCGCACTAGAAATTCGTATTACAAAAAACTATTGTTTATCACATATGCAGACACAAGCATCTAGTTGGAAGTATATAATGTAAAAATATGTGTGTGTGTGTGTGTGTGTGTGTGTGTGTGTGTGTGTGTGTGTGTATATATATATATATATAATACAAATAGTTTTAATTATGTTATATACAGAAAAAATATCCTATTGCTAAGAAAAAGTATTATCTAAATAATTTTTTTCTTGTAAATAATAGCTCATCTCAACAAAGGATATTCTTTTGATAATAGTCTTAAAATATACTTATCACAAATTTTAGAAAAACTGATTATGTCATATATTCAAAAGAATTATTTTCTTTTCAAAAATATAAAACTTGTTATACAGAAGAAGAACAAATCAACTTTGTATTGTAATTTAATATTCTTGATTGAGGTACTTCAATCATACTTAAAATAAATAATATCTACTTGAACATAGTATATATTTTTCTGTATATATACGAATAAAAAACACGACGTCTCCGCACGTTATATTACATATTGTGTCAATACGAGACTGAACATTCAAGGCGTTGTCGGACGTTCTGATTCATTAAATTATCGTTAAGAATGAAATCAAGAAGGTAAATAATGATGCATTCTTATAAGATACCGACAATCACACGTTTGCACGTGACGAGTGGTAGACCCCACTAAAATAACGATAATAAATTTATGTTTGTAGACAAAACCGTTCCATAAAAGATGTGAAATGCGACCGTACCTGGAAAAAGAACATACAGCCATCGTGATGAAGCACATAGAAGGCTTCGCAACCGAAAGGAAGTGGTAACGGGATCGTCACGTTTCTGGAGTAGAAATGAATCTGTGGCACCTGGTGGCTCTTGATGTGCTCTAACAATGTATGCGAGGTCACTATCTCATTACAGAGTCGTAAGAGAGGACACGCCAGCGGTATGGAGGATACAGAGTCCGTGGAGCCGCTGAGAATCGGTGGTTGTTGCGAATTTAATGACTGCTGACTGACAGTATGTCTAACGCATCCACGACTCGATCCGATGATCTGCGATGACGATGTCGAGTCAGTGAATGGGGTCAAGAGCTGGTCCCTCGATAACTCGCCGGTACTAGCTGACTTAACACGATCGTTTAAAGACAATCGCAATAAGCTGTCGGCAACAGTTGCTGTGTTGTGAACGGATGCGGCTTCCTCCCTGATGCCTGACGTTCTCGTTAAATTATCCGCAGAAGCGGCCTTCTCTCTGTTTCCCAGCAACAATCTAGTTAACAAAAACTGTCTGGGTTTCGCGACACTACGATTACTCTTCGTCGCGACCAATGTATCTTCTTGCTTCTTGATTTTACCGAACAATTGTTCGTGCAAACTGTAACGATCGGATGTGTCATTGTTTTTATCCACTGTCTGGCTGTTGTTTGCGTCGAAGTATGTGTCACGGAGCACTCGGTGCAAATTGTCCGCAAGGAGACATCGACCATGATGAAGCCGGACTCTGCAGACCGGACAGCGCGTCATTTTCGGTCTACAGACAACGCACAAGATGTGACCATAAACACATTGCGATATCGGAGGAGTGGCGGTCTCCAAACAAATTGGACACTCCAAGGCACGGATCTGAAAAAGGAGATATTTTTTCAACAGATCGAGATCAGCTATTACAAGATTGTATCACGACAGAGTGACATGTGAATTTTAAAAAATATATACAGGTGAACTGCGCTATGGTGTTCATTAAACACCAATCAATAGTAATATTATATTAATATAACTTGAGCTGTATAATTATAACTTGAGCTGAGCATTGAAATGATCAGTGGAAATCAACATGGCAGTCGCAACGTGTTGAGTAATTTATCTTCGATTTGAACATAAACGTACCATTCCCGACAATGCGCTCACGAGGTTTCTTGCTACGTCCGGAAGCGGACCCTGCAAAGCTAATCCGACATCGTCTTGTGCTTCCTGAGGACATCTCCACACGTCAATGTTTATATGACTTTCATCCTCTTTGCGAATCAACACAGCGATCTCTGCTATCTTTAAACCTAACAAGTCGACATCGTCCACACTCAGGAGGCAATCCCCAGTTCTGACGAATATATCAATTTAGTTCAAATTTCGCTCAGAAATACAGATTTATGTTTTTATATGAGCAGAAGTTAAAATAGTTTTTACAAATCGAACGGAGTTAACGGTTTCACTTAATGTATCGTAAAATTATCACATATATAATTAAATTATATTTCGAATTACATTAATGGGACAAGGATTTTTGAAAAATTAGAATGATGAATTTTAATATTTTGTCGTACTAATAATTTTGTGAGAAACGTAAAACGTACCTTAAGCCAGCCAAGTCAGCAGGACTATCGTTTTCGACGTAGCTGATCCACGGAAATGGATCCCATTTTGATTTCGTCAAATGAAATCCCAGGGAATTATTGGATGATCTGTTTATTTTCTGCATCTTGAGACTTATCTTTCCAGACGCGGGCGCATTCGTATTTTCTTCAGGCGAGGATGTTACGATCTTCACGCCTGCCGCTTCTGCTAGGATTTCGGAATATGAAGTTCGCGGCATTTTCTTTGTCGATATCGCTCACACAGCCGAAAATCACTGTTCTTCAACGGCATAAATGTCTTTTAGTGATGTGGATAAATAAGTCGGGTAAATATATTTCAGAGAGATATCTTCGTACCCAAAAAGATAAAAATTCACAATGTAAAACGCTAAAAAGATTTATTGTGTCTGTTTTATTCGTTCAATTTAATTTCTATAATTTACTGAACACTAAAAATACATACACGTTAGTCCACACTTTTATCTTCAAGCCAACTTCGAACGAGATCAATACTGTGGAAGCGTTTGCGTCGGACACATCTCGAGAAGAGAGAAAAGTTACTCGCCTGTTTACCTTCACCCATTTGTACGCTCTTGACATTGGTTCTTACGTCATATCGCGATGAATACGTTGTTTGCCTTTTACTCTAACATACCAAAGAGTGTGTATTCTTAGAAATGCTTTCAGAATGATTAAGTACAACTATAATAATTGCACGTACATGGATGCAAATGTTACAAAAATACAATATGAGGAAACATTCTATCAGGTATTTTGATAAATATATATACACGTCTACATATAACGCCTATACGTATCAAAAACCTACTAAGATTTTATTTACTAATATTATTTACTAATAAATTTACTAACATTTTTAATGTATATTACATATATATATATATATATATAAAATTTTCGTTTTATATAAGTTACATATATATATATATATATATAATTTTTGTTTCATATAAGATATATATATATATATATAATTTTTAAAACAGAAACTATAGTAATAATTTATATACATTGGACTTCCATATCACATGATCATATCGATTATAAATCAAGGTATAAACTAAAAGTATAATATTTCAAACACTTTATATAATAAAATCTAAATGTATATATAGAAGCTTTGTACAATACCTTATATAATATAATAATTATATTTCAAAGTAAATTTGAATATATACTATTTTTGTTAAATCTACAATTATATACAATATTTTCTTGGAAGAACATACAGCTAGATTGTCCTTGACAGGACCAGATCAGATGGTAAATAAAATAATAATTAAATTGTATAATTTATAATGATAAAAATTAAGATCAACATAACAGAACACACACTTCAGTGTAATTAAGAGTATTATTATATAGGGTAGTACATTAAAACATAATTTTCAAAAAAGTAAGGAATATTTGCAGTTGAGAATAAAATTGAAGTTTGAATCATTTTGCTTCAATAATGATTATATAAAAATAACATAAGCTTTAAATAAATATCAAACCTAGATAATATCTGAAGCCAACCCTCTAGTTATGAATAAGTTGACAATTGCTTAAAATAAAATATATGAATATTGCAGCGAGCAATCATACATATTCACATATATGTAAAATTATACAGAATCAAACTAGTTACCAAGTAGTTACTGATACAAAATATTAAGACACTGGTTCAGTGTATGCAGAGTTGTGTGCGCTGTAGCTTTGAGAACCAAAAGATCAGGATCCAGGTGCAGATCTGAATTCTCAATAGACTGCGCTAAAGCAAGATTATGTTTCTCAACTTTCCTCAATTGTTCCTGGCAGTTGGCGAAGGCATCTAACACTTCCAACTTAACGACGGGGTTTCTACTCGAATTCCCAGAATGTTCTCGAGGGGGTAATGGAGGATGACTACTAGCTATGGCCCTAGTATACATTTCTGTAACAGCTCGTAACTTGTCCACCCATTCCTGACGAGCTCGTGCATCTGTGGCTCTCAGCTTGATCATGTCACCTTAAAAATATTAAAAAAAATCAAATCATATTATTCATTTAGAAAGATATAATATTAAGATTCATTAGAAATATATCAGATATTTACCTGTAGCGGAGTTGACTGTAAATGTGTTTGAATCTTCGTCGCTGGGAGCTATCACTGCCCCCGCCAGATATATTGAACACCGGGGTCTCTGATTTTTCTCAGACTCGCTGAGAAAGTAATGCAACTCACCAGTCTCGGGACTCAAGATAAACCAACGATATTGCCAGCCTTTCATAGCATTAGTATACTTGTGCAACAGACCTTCGTAAGGGTGTCTTGTTTGTACGTTCATCATTAGCAACACTTGCACGTCCTTTTGGAAGCCTTTTATTCTTCGAACAGAGTATCCGAAGTAGAAGCGGAGAATTATCGATAGTGCAATCGATAACTATCGATAGTTTATATTATCAGTAATAATCGATATTCTATTTTAAACTATCGATAGTTTTCGATAAATATGGGTCGATTCTCGACTAAATTTTATGAAGGTTAGTCAATCAGATTCAAATTTCAATACTTGTTTCGGCAGTACATATATTAAAATTAGAACGATACAAAGAAGATTAGATTTCTGTGCAAGGATAACACGCAAGAAGATTCAAATCTCAGTTAAATTTATTAGTCTCTATAAAATTTAGTTGAGATTCGAACCATAATTTATTTATAATACTAATAAAATACAAATAGATCTTCACATTAAATTTGTTATAGTGAATCAATTATAGTTATAGTGAATACATTTAAACGAAACATTTCATAAATCAGACTTTACAGGGCTTTATAGAAAAAAATAGCACTGTTATAAGATTTTAGAAAGAAAAATATTATTTTTAATATTTGTATAGAGAATATAATAGTAGATACAATCGTACAAAAATTGAGCTATACAGTATAGTACAAACAATAAATTTTTGCATACATTGCATGTATATATTATATACATATATTAGATATCTCGTAATTTGCAATAGTAAAAAGAAATAATTTTTTATTTAGAGAATAAGTTGAAAATACGCAGAATAAGTCAAAAACCTTTTGTATGCAACTTCATTTACAACAAAATTGATCTATCAATTTTTAACAAACATACAAATGTCGTTGCCGATTATGTAAACTATAACACACTTAATGTTCTTAATTTAGAACAATTTTCAAATATACGGGATATCCTGAGATATAATAATATGTAGTTTAACTTTAAGGTGACATTCGTGTTGGAGTCTTTCTTTTTCTCAAAAATTTATAAGTATCCTTTGAGAACAGATAACTGATACCTCCTGCAATTGTTGTAAATGCTGTCAAATAGTATAAACCTTGTAAAACTGGATGGTCTACAAAATTGAAAATTGGAGCAGCCAATGTTCCAGCAACCAGGGTTAACTGCACACCAGTGTTCAACTTGCTTGCTAGTGTTGGTGCTAGTTGCACAGTGGCATGTGTAGGATCAAAATACCTTACTAATGTTTTCTGAAACCATTATATTCATATCAAATGCAGTTCTTAATATATTGAAACAATATTGAAACAAATGTATATATATATACAAGAATAGAAATATGGTACATACTGGTGGAGGTAAGGAACGATATCTAATATATGATGCAGCAGTTACTAAAGCAACATCACGCACAATCACAAGATAAGTAAGAGGTATTGGTATTAAACCAACCCATGCTAAAGAAAGGAACAATGTCCCAACGAGTAATTTGTCTGCAACAGGATCCAGAAAGCTCCCAAGTTTGGAAGCTTGGGATGTCCAAGTGCGTGCAATCCATCCATCAGCTAGATCACTGAGTCCTGCAAATGCAAGCAAGCACAGGGCTATCTGTGCCACAGTAAATACTATAAGAATATATCTCATAATAATATAATCAGATGATAATGAGTTGTATTAGTAGATATATTTTCATTTAAATATTTAATCATACTTGATAGTCATGTGATAAGATCAAATAGCTTAAGAATGGTGATGTCACAATGCGACCCATGCATAGCAAATTTGGTACAGTCCAGATATTTTCCCTTTCAATGATCTCTTCTACTTTCCTCCTTGTGTGCTTGAGGTCTTGTAGCAAACGTGTTCGCAATGTTTTTCTGTAAACACCCCTTTCTTTTGCACCCACATGTTTGTAACGATTCTCGGTTGATACAACATAAAGTCTGGCTTGACACATCTGATAGTGCCTCAGACATTGCTCCATTAAACATCTATTTACAGTTGAGCACTGTCTAAATGAGAATATAGTGAAGTAGCTCATAATTATTCACCCCTATATCCTATAATAACAGAATTAAAAATAGACTAAAAACACAAAATTATTAGATATTTTTGTAATCGAATTCAATTAATGTGACTTCTAACAAATAGATAATCCAAGAATTTGCAAAAAGTGCACATGTTGTTCCTCGTAAAATTTGTCGTCTTTTTTCTTTAATAAAAATATTAAATTGCTGATATTTCTGAAACAGTAGTTAAACTATCATCATGTCAAATTGAATTTCACAACGAAATTCTAATTTCCGAGATCAAGAATTATCAACAAATATTATAGAAATTCTATCGACATGTAAAAATTTGTGGCAAAGATCAAAATGACGATCATCCCGGTCAATCCCATTGAAACATCCACTCTAAATTACACGCAGAAAATAACATTAACATATGTACTCTCCCTGCGAATTCTGAGACATTCTACATATACGTCGTAACGTACAAACGTTTTAAGCGTAAATCTCATTTCACGCCATATGCAAAATGTGCGTGTATCTCTATGCATATCTCGAGATCGGGGCCTTCATTTGTGAGGTTAAATTTTAAAGCGCAAACAGAACACTTGGAACTACTCCGCCACTCAGTGATGTCAGGGGTGGGATAAATGTCTCCGGCGATCGTCCCACGTCTGCACTTTGTGTAGTTTGCTTTGACAAGTTGGAAATTATTAAAAAAATGGAATATTTTAAAAGTAGTTTAAAATCCGTTTTAGGAACTGCTCCTGCTGGAACGCAAACAACAGGTGCTGATACAGTAAGTGGGAAAATGTTGATCTAGTAATACACAGCCTGTGTGAAAGAAAGGTTATTCTTTCATATGTTTGAACAAATGTCACATCACATCAGTGCATTTATACAATCATTTATTATCTGGTATAACTTTATGTTCAGAATAAAAAATCAATTGACAAGTAGCAATTATTATAACGTGATATCTTATGAACAACAGGTGGAGAAGTTAGTAGACAGATTGCAATCATCTACTTTACTCGATGATAGAAGAGATGCATGTCGTGCACTCAAGGCATTATCCCGCACGTACCGTTTGGAAGTAGGTGCTCAAGGAATGGATGCACTGAGACAAGTTTTAGAAATGGACAGGACAGATTGTGAGATAATTGGTTTAGCTTTGGATACTTTGTGCAATATAACAAACCCTGAAACATTTGATGAGGAAGAAAGTAAGGCTATAAGTTTCAGCAATATTAATACAGTGATTTGTATTATTTAATTACTTTTGCTCTGTTTTAGTTGATAAACATGATTCTAAGAACAAAGTAGGTGAACAGTTTACAGAAATATTTATCAAACATCCTGATAGTGTCGGATTAGTATTAGCATTTCTTGAAGAATTTGATTTTCGCGTTAGATGGCCAGCACTGAAACTGTTAACATATTTATTAGCAAACAGATCTAAAGACATCCAAGAAATAATATTGGTCAGTCCTATGGGAGTCTCTAAATTGATGGATTTATTGAGTGACAGCAGAGAAATTATACGTAATGATGTAGGTTAAATTGGTTATTTTTCAAGAAGTATTAGATAAGAAGGATGTTTTTCCTTTAATATATTTTTATACTTAGGTTTTATTACTACTTATTCAATTAACGAAAGGCAATGCAAATATACAAAAAATAGTAGCATTTGAAAATGCATTTGATCGAATATTTGATGTTATCAAACAAGAAGGTAATGCAGATGGTGGTATTGTTGTGGAAGATTGTCTCTTGCTGATGTTAAACCTTCTCAGAGGAAATGTTAGTAATCAAAACTTTTTTAAAGAAGGTAATATCTTTTTAATAATAAAAATACTAATAAAATGTTATGTTATATTGTCTTTAAATTGTCCTCTTTTATGTTATAACATATAGGTAGCTACATTCAGAAATTAACACCAATGTTTCAAATACCAAATGAACTAGAGGATAATAATCTCGGTGGATGGAGCCCACAGAAAGTGTCTAATGTTCATTGCATGGTGCAAGTTATACGGGCATTGGTAGCACCTAGTGCTCCCGCTCAGGTAAAAATAATATTGGCACACTATATAATACTTGTACGTGCAATATCTTGTATTTTATTTTTGACAAAATAATTATTCTGTAAAGGCAGTTGCTGCTTGTCAACGAACCATGAGGGCATGTGGATTATTGCAAGCATTGTGTGATATACTGATGGCAAGTGGAGTGCCTGCAGATGTATTAACTGAAACTATTAACACTGTGGCAGAAGTAATAAGAGGGAATGCTAGTAATCAAGAATTCTTGGCAAGTGTCATGGCGCCGAGTATTCCACCAAGGTATACCTTATAAATATCTTATATTAATATATTCAAGAATAATAAAATAACTGTATAAACCAATATATTATAGGCCGGCTATTGTTGTTCTACTGATGTCCATGGTGAACGAGAAGCAACCATTTATTTTACGATGTTCAGTACTATATTGTTTTCAATGCTTTTTATATAAAAATGAAGTGGGACAAACGCAATTAATTCAAACTTTATTACCGCAAGGCAATGAAGCACCATCACTAACTACAGGTTCTTTAAGTTCTCTAAAATAATATAAATTTGAACCAACATTTTCATTGAATATATATAGTTTTTGTTTTATTTGATAAATTTCTTATTATTTGAGAGTAAACCACGATTATTTCAAAACTCTATTATATCTCTTATATGTGAAGATCTTCGAGATAAAAATGGTTTCTAAATGAAACGATACGAAATTATATATATATATATATATATATATATTTATACGAAATTATATATATATATTTGTTGTTAGGACAGTTGCTGTGCGGCGGATTGTTTTCTACAGATTCTTTGTCAAATTGGTTCTCCGCTGTGGCATTATCTCACGCCTTGATTGAAAATATAAGTCAAAAGGAGCAACTCTTGAGAGTACTTCTCGCGACCAATATCGGCAAGCCACCGGTGACGCTTATGCAACAATGTGTCATGTTGTTACAGCAGGGTAACAAAACGCAATGTAAATTGGGTCTACTGATTTTACTTTGTCGATGGACTTCCTATTGTCCACTCGCGGTCAAGTCGTTTCTAGCTATTGACTCTTCAGTAGCATATTTAACAGCCCTCCTATCGTCGCAAGAGAATAACGAAGATTTGCAAGAGACCTTATTACATAGTATGTGTGCTTTACTTATCGGTATTTGCGTACACTTTAACGATGATAGTGTATCTACATACACGAAGGTGCGTAGAACAAACATTTCACATATCAATCAAGATAAAGAGGCAAATAAGTAACATAATTTTTTAATTTTATCTTGCAGGAGAAGGTATGCAATTTAATAGAGAATAGAATAGGTTTGGAAAAGTTTCAAGATGCGATCGGCGGTATTGCTAGACATGAAGTATATTCCAGAACATTAAAACATCCACAGCCTTCAACTAAAAAGCCATCTGAACTTTTATTAGATCATGAATTTTGCAGACTGTGGAAAAGTTTAGAAGGTATTGATATATAATATAAGAGATGTCAACTCCAAAGTGTTAAGAAATTTAATTTTTAAATTTCTCACGATGATACAAGATGTATTAAAAATTTCAAGATGATATTTTTTTCTTTTTATTAGGTGTTGTAATAAAATCAGTGATGGATGCTAATAGTGAACATCAGAATAAGAATCAATTATCTATGATGAGTTTATCTGATAGCACGCTGGTTTCACAATATAAAGATCTTATCAGGGAGCAGGATACACAAATTCAACAGCTAAAGCAACAGCTGAATCAGACTCATGATTCTTTCATAAAAAAGAATGAAGAACTTGAAGTATAAAACAATTTCCTTAAAATAAAATTTATAGAATGTATTGTATTTTCTAAATTAATTTTTTATATTATTGTAGGCAGAAATACAAACGCTTCGGTCGACTGTTAGTCATTTACGAGACCAAAATTTAGTTCTTCGAGCTGCACAAGCGAATATAGGAGAGGGAAAAGAAATCATTAGTTCTAGCAACAATGTGGAACACTTGGAGAAAGAGTTACAAACGTACAAAACGATGGTTGTGGATTTAGAAAATCGTTTAGTGGAATATTCACACGTAGTACAAGAGCACAAAGATAACGATAATACAAAGAAAGAATCAGAAAATTCTAATAAAATAAAAGAATTAGAATATCAATTAAAATTAAAGATAGAGGAAATTGAAAAATTGAAGAAGGATCAAGAAAATCTTTTAGAGCTTCTAACTGATCAAGATAGTATTATTACGCGATACAAAGAAAGATTGGCCGAATTAGGAGATAAGGTACGTTTTATTTTAACTTCTTCATACATAGTAAATAAAACGTGACTTCTCTTTAGGTCGAATCTGATGAAAGTTCCGGTGAACCTGACACGGATGATCAACCAGAATCAAGTAACTGAAATATTTTTAATCAATATTTTTTCATTTAAAATATATAAGTGGACAGTTTTTTTTAATAAATTCTGTTTTGTAAAGATTTCATTTTACGTGTCATAAATATATAGTATGAAAATATAGAATATATTTACAAGACATATATAATGACATACGTTACACATAATTATAAATTATAAATGTTATTCTCGCTTTTAGAAATATTTCAAATAAATAATGAATATTTTTCGAATGAAAGAATGTAAGTATAATACCTTTGTGATTCTGTATAATTATGTTCTAGTATATATCCAGATGCTCAGTGAATTTACTAATAATGATGATATAATTATTATAAATGTATATTATATTAATACTAATATATTAACACTAAAGAAACTGTCATCAGACATTCCTATAATAATATGTTCAATGTAATTATTTGTGCTATCTATGAAAGATATGTATAGAAAAATTATCCAAGGGAATAAATTTATTAATTTATTTTAAATAATTTAGTTTTTATTGTAACTACGAGTATACAACATTACGGGACTGAGATCAACAGTCGCAAATAAAATTCCATTTTTAGTATTGTTTAATATACAGACCTTTACATTTCGATCCTTGATGTTTTCTCTTGTAATTTGTTTTATAACTGGCTGTAGAGTGTCATAATATCTAGCCAATCTCTTATCGAGTAACTAGCGAGTGAGGATTTTGTCCAATGTTGGATAGCTTATACTGTGTTTTGTCGTTGTTTTATGACTGCTTGAACGCACTTTGCCATAGTCAAAGATGCTCGTGATACTACATCAGTCATAAAGAACTCATCCAACATTTTATGTTTAATATCCACTGGCTCAGGTAGAAATGATCCTCCAGATTGTTGCTATACGTACATTACAAGCAATACATATAGATATTATTATTCCAACACTTAAAATATAAAAATTATAATTCAATCAATGTATCTTAATTGAACCTCCATAAATTTAACATCAATTTTTTTATTTTTACCGAAGAGATTGCCTAGTTCTAGCCGAGAATTCGTTGGTTTAATTACGTATCAAATCGTGATACAAACCTTAGCCATCTCTAAAGCTTGTGTGAAGAAATTGGCTGGTTCAACTTCACCGTATCGAACCAAATGAGGTGCAATTTCTTCAAGTCTTGATCTCACGTCATTCAAATTGTCGTAGGGTAAAGTGATGTCAGCTATCTATAATAATTTAATAAAACGTATATAAATTATATTTCGATCGGTAATTTAAATATTTTATAAAGATATTGTTGCATGAATTATTTACTTCAGAAAGAGCACGGATAATTTTCCAATCTGGACGTGCTAAGCCAGGTGGTGTAATTGCTGCACATGTTTGTTGAGAACGACCCTCTGTGTTAACATAACTTGCGACTTTTTCAGTGTACGCCGCTCCAGCGAGTACAACGTCAGCAATGGCCGCTCCAGCATCACCGTGACTTCCTATGTATATAAGATTTGTTAGTCAGACTTGACGATTTAATTAAAAGTTACAGATGTATATAAATTGATTTTTTTAAATAAAATATAAATATTGTACCACCTTAAATATATCTCGATGCTATTATACATGCCTATGTAAATGATGAATGTATTCGGGAAATCTTCCTTCTTAATATCCGCGTCATCAGCACCTAGAAGGAACAGAACTTTCGGTTGTTGTTGTTTGATTTCTTCTACAGTCGAGCCATAGCCGATATCTAACGCAGCAACTTGAGAGGCATTTGTATGCAGGATGTTTAAGATCTTCCAGTCCTGGGGAGCCTGAAGCAAAATTAATAGTTATCGCAATTTCTACAAAGTTACGATACAAGGAAGAAAAACTAAAAGAGAATAAATTACTTTGGAGTTATCTCCTAAAGCCTTCGCCAATTCCTGCGTTTCGTAAAGGATTTTCGCTCCATCCTTTCGAGATAACTGTTCAGCGCCTAAGATAACGAGCGGTTTTTTAGCCTCTTTCAAAATCGTGCTGAATGGATGCGAGCCGTTCCTAAGTTTCATTATCACATCGAAAGACTGTCCTAGATGCTGCGTGTAAAAAAAATGTTACATTCTGCAAGACAAGACTACTATAAATTCAATGTAAAAGAAATCTATACCTCATGATCGTATGTTAGATCTACATCTGGGCCAATAAGGGCGACTGTTTGTTCACCATGTAGATAGCCTTTTCTGAGACGCGTGTTCACCAGTGGTGCCTCATATCTGGGATTTGTACCGATTAATACTACGATGTCTGCATCTTCAATTGCGGCGATGGTGTTGTTCAAAAGATAATTGCTCCTGAGATCAATACCCGAGCCATCTTTCGGGAAACACTGTTCTGTAGCTAGCCCCTCGCTGCCTAATTTGTTCACTAAATCCTTCATGGTGACTAAAGCTTCCGCGTCTGCCATTTTACCAGCGATCGCGGCACATTTGCCCGCCGGTATGTTCATTAAAGCTTTGGCAGCTAATCATCATGAAAAACGTTATATGCAATGCAATTACAAACACTTAAGAAACAAATTAGATACATGCGCATAACAGATGTTAATTAATTCTACCAGCAATAAGTGCATCTTCCCAATCTACAGATTCCAGTTTTCCCTTGATTTTCATCATTGGCGTAATAAGCCGTTGCCTCTTGAGTCCGTCGTATGAAAAACGAGCCTTATCTGAGAGCCATTCTTCGTTTACTTCCTATAAATTATGCCGATAATTATTAATTACGTCAGAAAATCGTATATTCCTCTAATATTTTTGGTTCTGACATATTCTAACAATATAATGTGAAAATAATATTAACCTCATTCACTCTTGGTAATATTCTCAAAACTTCGTCAGTTCTGTGAGAGATAACTATGTTACTACCAACAGCATCGTGAACATCAATACTGTCAGTACAACGTGTCTCCCATGGACGAGCAACAAATGCATATGGTTTGCTAGTCAATGCACCCACTGGACAGAGGTCAATGATATTTCCCGATAATTCTGACAAGAACATTTTCTCAATATACGTCCCCACCTTTAATATTACCATATAAATGTTATACAATCTTAACTTTTTCTACAACTTAACAAAATATATATCCAGAATATTATAAATATCAAAACACACCTGCATATCATTACCACGACCTGTAGTTCCTAAATCATCAATACCAGCTACTTCTGAAGCAAATCGGATACATCTCGTGCAATGTATACAACGTGTCATAACTGTTTTGATCAAGGGTCCAAGATCTTTATCCTCCACTGCTCTTTTCCCAGAGAACTTAATATCAACAAACCTACTCCTATCGGTTCCAAAAGCCATGCTTTGATCTTGTAAATCACATTCTCCACCCTGATCACAGATTGGACAGTCCAGTGGATGATTAACCAGTAAAAACTCCATAACACCCTCACGAGCTTTCCGTGTTATATTAGAGTTAGTTTTTACTTTCCAACCTTTCATTACTGGCATGGCACATGCAGCCACCGGCTGTAAATAAATTTAAAACAAATATAAATTATTAATTTATATTTTGTTTATTCTTTTACATGTCCTATTTTATCCTGTACCTTGACTTGCTTTTCTATTTCAACAAGACACATTCTGCAATTCCCAGCAACAGCAAGTCTTTCATGATAACAAAATCTTGGTATTTCAACTCCCACCTTGGCAGCAGCCTAAAAGAAAATTTTTGTCATAAACATTACTAAGACTCTATTTTCTAAATTATTATAAATAAAATCTATTTTCAGAAAATTTATAACAGAGTTTTCTATTACTTGTAAATTAAATCACAATTGTGGAAAAATTGATATTTCTGATTTTATCATCATGGCAACAAGAATACTTTTTAGCACCAAATAAGTATCAATTGCATAATATTGCATAATATTATAAATTTCTTATTGAAATTCATGGTAAAAAACTCAATTGTTATTAGCTCAATTTTATTTTAATATTATCTATCATTTATAAAAGATATATCTTGATACTTATATTCTTTAAACCTGAAATTTTATATATACAGTGTAGAATATAGAAACTACATCATTAGTTATGACAAAATGAGCAAAGGCAAATGGAAAAAAACTATAAAAGTACATCGACACACACCTGCAAGACTGTTGTTCCTGGTGGCACTTGTACAGGTTTATCATCGATAAAAAGTTCAATCAATTCCTGCTGAGACTTGCTGGATGTTGTATGAAAACTAACAGCACAAAACCTTCCATTTGCCAGGCCTGTAGCCCTTACGACTGGTAGTCGCAACATCTTGTCAAGCTAAACTATCAATATCAGTAACACTTCATTATGTAATAAATAAACTTTGCTATACAATCGACGAGGAGATGGCGAATTAACCTAACCAGAGATGAAATAAGCGAAATATCTATCTCTAAGAGAAACGATCAAGTCGCAACACGTCTGTGTTGCAAAATACCGCGATAACTCGTCAAATATTTATCCATGAGAATGATTAGAACCTAAATTTCACAGATAAAATTACTACAGCTGTTTCTGTGCATAAATACCTTCTTTAGATGTCAGAAAACCTGAACACCATCGATTGAGCTCATGATGAGCAATGGAGAGTTCGATTCAGGAATATTGTCACTTGATTTTGCGTCACCGTGTATATATAGTCTCCTCGATTTTGAACCAATGAATTCGTATATAAACTAGGGAAATTCACAATGGCCATTTGCACATCAATCAATAAAATTCTTGTCTGTGAATATTCATTTTCATAATTATTGATCTAAATGAATATTGAGCTCATCAATAAACTAAACTCCACTGAAATCCATGAATCTAGGCCTATATCAAATACTTCAAAGTTATTTTTATACATTTTTTAAGGCTACCACGCAAGAGGGCAGCAGCTCCGGTGTCGTCGTTGTCGTTGTCGTGCGAATCCACCCGTGTCGTCGCCAAAGAAAGAACAGCCAGAAAGAACCGGAACGGACGTCACGTCGTCGCTCAAGTTGCGATACTCGAACCGAGTCGTACCGTCGCGGTGGCCTCTATCGTCGCACGTAGCTCTCTCTTCCGGCGATCCGCAAGACGAAGAGGTCCCCGTTGAACGTCCTGCTCTCTTCGTCAAATATTTACACGTCCAGGACACGTTCTAGCCATGGCCATCGGTGACTTGAAAACCGACAAGGGCGTTAAGGATCTCAACACCTACCTCGCCGATCGCAGTTACGTCGACGGGTGAGTCTACTTTTATCATACTTCCGCGCGATCCACGTCTCCGGTACACGTGCTTCTCTTGTCGGCATCTTGGTGAATGATTTTCCTTCCCTTGGCCTTGATATCCCAGCCTTGGCATTATTCACGGTCTCTCGTAGACAGAAGCCTGAATCCTGCCGGCATACGAATATTCGACCTATTCATGGTCATTGATCTCGTTTATACTATGCGGCAGATCACGACGTTCCGGTATAACGTATAGATATGTGACATGCGACGATATATACGCACGCACGCACACAACCGTCGTACATCGTATCTTATGCGCTTATTTTTATGTTCGCTGAATCCTTTCACACAGTCTACACCGTCCCGTTGGTCTTTCTTTCGGTTTCTTTGGCAAATTTCCTGTTTAGAACCTGCTTTGTAAGCTCTTGCTTTGATAACACTCTTGTTGCGATTTTACACTTGATGATTGTGTCTGTATTTGGACATATGCATAAAAGTGAGAGAAGTATTCAATGTTTGCTCACACATACATCTATCAGAATATACGCTATATTTATTGCATATGTATTATTTTTTTCTTTTCTTAGTTAAAATGTTAATTTAATATAAAAAAAATTGCAACTATATGCTATATATCTTTGTATCCTCCTTTTATTTTTATTTATTATCTATCTCAATGTATTTTATAGTAAGAATATTAGTAAGGTTTTAAAATTTGTATTGTATTTTATGTATCAACTTTCATATTGTCCATTAATTTTTTAAACATTTTTTCCTTACGCATTAATCAAGTTGAAGCAATGTTCAACTTGACAATTTATATCATCTGAGGACATATATATGTAAAATAGATGTTCATTCTTATTTATATACCACATATGAAATCAATTAAGTCAATTAACAAGGATTATTTTGGATGCAAAGTAACATATCGTATAAAAGAATTTACACTCAATAGGTGGCAACCAACTCAAGCCGATGTTGCAGTACTTGAAGCACTTGGGAAAGCACCGTCATCTTCAAATCCTCATGTACTTCGTTGGTACAACCACATAAAATCATATGATCTTAAGACATTACCTGGTGAAAAGAAAGCCCCTGCTATCTTCAGTGCAGCTAGCACTCCAGTTTCGTCCGCAGCAAAGGCAAATGAGGATGATGATGATCTGGATTTGTTCGGGTCGGACGATGAAGAAGACGCGGAAGCCGCGAAGGTCAGAGAGGAAAGGCTAAAAGCATATGCGGAGAAGAAATCGAAGAAACCCGCGGTCGTCGCTAAGTCGAGTATCGTATTAGACGTGAAGAGCTGGGGCGATGAAACAGATATGAAAGAAATGGAAAATAAGGTGAGATCGATCCAACAAGACGGTCTCGTTTGGGGTGCATGTAAGTTCTCACATTGTATCACTCGATATGCATACAAATATGATATTCATTGATTACATAAACGCAGAAAGATTGTGAATATGAATTTTTATGATTTACAGCAAAACTTGTCCCAGTCGGTTACGGCATAAATAAGTTACAGATAATGTGCGTGATAGAAGATGAAAAAGTGTCTGTGGACTTGTTGATGGAACAGATTCAAGAGTTCGAAGATCTAGTTCAATCTGTAGACATTGCTTCGTTCAATAAAATCTAAGGAAACTAAAACAGCTCATTACTTTTAATATGAAAATATTAATAAATATTAATTGTTTGTATATATAATTTGTTACTTAATATACCCGAAGAATTCCTAGTGCAGTCTTCGAGAGTAATACAATATTGAGAAGCTTCATTGGGAGTGTATTTATTTTAACACCTACTTTTTATTACTAAGTGGGTGTTACACAATATCACATCGGGTGATAACCGAATAATTATTTCAGTACATCCTCGTATGTATTCAGTTTTCATCGTTGGATAAAACTATCTCGGTCGATATAGGTCAAATGCAACTCAGATAAAACTTTTCGATTCTAAACGTCAATGTAACGAGATTGATTTTTATGTTGATATCTTTCGCAGAAGATACATGTCGGAACTTGTGCATCGATCGTCACCTTCAGTCTTAGCATATAGATGCTTCAAACGTGCAATTTAATCCTAGTGTTCAATTTCTACGAGTTCATCGAGATTGTCAATTGTTGAGATATTCGTTAAGCTTCTTTGATCAAAATTTTTGATTGTTTAATGGGAAATTATTTCCTTACGTTCGATGATATTATCGTGCCATCGTGACACAAAGATATTTTTCTTCGTATTTGCGTGTCGATCACGTCGTTCGTCGATACTACTCATCGTTCGTGATGTATAAATTCGTTATATAATCCGGATGTGATAATAATCGATAGATGTAATGTGTATGAAATTATTTCGCTGAATTCTGGAGCGGGTGCTTCAAAATCCTTGAAATCCTTCGGACGCAGCGGAAACGTCGCGACGTATGACATTTGCTGCTAGTTTCATAACGGAAAAACCAGTAGCTATAAACGAATTAGAGATATCGTAGAATGCGAGAATTTTATACACGTTATATCGTTTGCACGATGATGTAACGGGAATTTCAGCGATGTTATCGATGTAAAAAAACAACGAGACATTCATCAGTCGCCGTCGACATGATATGTATACGTCTATATCGCGTGCATACATATCTTTGATTATTTTTAACTAGGAAAAAACATGATTCTATTTCTTGTTCCTTCGTTTTTACAATCCTTCGTTTTTACAATCACACGATCGCCGCTGCGAAAAATCCGAGCGAACAATTATCGATGAGCGATAACGTTTCGTCTATCACACGCTCGTTGCGAACGAGAACGTAACTTGTTCTTTCGCTTCTTTACACACTGCTTCTTGTTGCTTTACAAACTCGTTCTCGAGGAAGGCATTAATTGTAAATTTATCGACGAGCGACACCGGCGCGCGCGTGCTTAGGGCATTGACATTGACATTGAACTTGGGATCCGGTTGTATGCGACGGTCTCCTCACGTCTCCGTTGCGAGTTTTAAGCTAACGACACGCCGGACATCAATATCCACTTGTGTTAGAAGACGTATTAAAGACTACGAGCGGATCGCAGGATTTAGGGTTTATTGCCGTAAAACACCCAGTATTAAGTTTCGACGTTTTCCTTTTGCGTTTCCTCGTTCTTTCCAGATATCATTACGACTGCGACATGCTGATCCGCTTTTTTGCATTTTTCATCGTACCCCATCCTTTGCGGATCCTAAAAGGATAGAGATGTTTAATAGTCACGTTATTTAAAAAATACGCTGGAATTACGACAGGGAACAACAAAGAGGAAACTTATACGCTTTCTTGGCTATTAGTGACTATACAACGATTAACTCTAGAAGTTGAGTGGACACGTAACGTGTATGTATACTCGATGACTATCAGAATAATGAAAGGATAAATACCTTTCATGAATTATATCCAGGATTGTATTTCTAATTACGAATGCTTCTCACGCGATCGAATGCGATTCACGCGGATGAGCGAATGCCATTGATGAGATACAATCTTTTAAAATTCGCACACATTGCGATACATTTTATAAAGTGATTTTTTTCAGTTTTCAGATTCCCAACATCATATTCCTTTGCATCGTAAAAAACCCCAAAGGATATTTTTTCTCAGAAAGACGATACCCCGGAATTTTATTCGAGTTTATCTGACTCTTACGCCGTCCAGGACCCTCTTCAGAGCACAGCTCTTTAAAACCTCTGCTGCAAATAAAAAAACTCACTAAAAGTGAAAGAGTGTGATCAGCGATGATCCTGAGGACCATCGTAAGATGTTATCTAGCCAGCAATTTGTTTTTCTTTTTATGTCTTTTTATCCCTTGCTTCAGATCCCGACAACGACGATGACGACGAAATTCTCGTCCTTCAACCGCTTCCCAAATGTCTGCTCTTCCCCATCCCGTTCTCCCGTGTGTCCTCGTCTCCTCGCCATCTCTGCGTCTCGCGACATTCGCGGCTGATATCACCGTATATAAGAAAGCGATCGGTAGAGGACAACGCGAAAGCGCGGATCTTCTTGCGTCAGTCGACAGTGTCTTCAGGGACTAGCACAGTGCACTGGCAGACGTTGTTCCTTGTGGATTGGTAACAGCATATTTCTGAGATGTCGGCCAAAGTTTCGTGGATCGTTGCGACCACGCTCGCATTGCTCTGCATTTGCGTGTACGGTAAGCTACATCATCGAGTTTTACCCGTTTTATCAGCGTGACTGTTATAACAATAAATTAATTAATTAACTAATTGCATTATAAATTGTAAATTCGAAATAGTCATTAGATTTCGTTAGACACATGGAATTCGCGGAGCGCTTTTCAGATATCATTAAAACGACATATGACATATTATAATTAATGACGAATAGAAATCAATAGAAAAATATTCGTTGATAATTTGCTTTTAATCTCGACAAAACTCCTAAAAATCTGTTCGAAGTCCCCCATCGATCTTCGACAGACCGAAATCCGTTCTGGTTTTATCTCATCGCAGATCCGCTCATCGCTTATTCCGAGAATTCTTAATATCCGTGTACCGTTAATAACAGTCTGCGTCTTCACGTTGTTACAAAAAAGATCTAAGTCCATGACAGCGTTCCTGACCGACACGCGCAACGTCGTCGGTTGGCCTTGCGAGTATTATCCGCCTTTCTGAGGCCAAGCTTTCCCTTATGAGCCTTATGAGTGTTAATACTGAAAAAATATCTTTTATGATTCATAAGCTATGTCATTGAGTCTTTAGGAAAATGTCTGATTAGAAAGTTGAGCTTTAAGTCTAATAAAATATGAATTAAATAATATATAAAATGACACACAAAATAATATATATGAATGTGGATAAAATAATACATTACATGTTCCTAATACACTAGAAATAAACTGTCATTTGATACAATGTTCGATCAGATGTATTTCATATCTTCCAATAATTATTATATTACTTTTGTTAGTAGCGCAATGTTTACAAACGTTGTTTTAACATCGATATATCGTAGAAATAATAATTCAGAACGTTGGAAAGAGATATGCGATGTTATGACAAACACGATAGTTACGCTCTGTTTGCGATGAAATCAAAATTAAGACGATGACTCGAGGAAAATACGTTCGACTATTTTTATACGATCGCTCGAATCAATTGTATTTACTAGTAAATTGCCTTTGCAAACACAGTGATAAGCTGTGAAGAAGTATTATTACTCATTGCGTGATGAAAATGTTTTGACTATAAAACAATATACTCGCGCGATCATGAAGTGTGTTTTAAAAGTTACCTCTTCGCATAACCGAATATCTCTCCATTATGATAGAGAAAAATTCAAATGCAATAGTTGTCCCGAAGACACGAGAAGACCCTGAATCGCTTTATTAAGCGATTCGGCCTCGCCGCACCTATAACTATAGTGGGAGGCATAAGATAATCCGATTATATTCTAACTCTGATCACCGTAAATCTATTCAATCAATCTGAATGATTTAATTATCCTTCGTACATTGTGGTCTCGTTAAAGTCTGGTCAAAAGAAACTATTTAGCATACAAAGTTTTTTATCTAAGTTAATTAACACCAAACTTTTTTCGTATTTTTGAGAGAAATTCCATGTTTTCCGGGAAGATAAGAAATTTAGCTTCGTCAAATTGACAATCATATTCGATTTACAGTCAATATATACACATTTTGCACGACAATAGGATAAAATAAGTTTGAATACCAAAGCGTAAATCGTATGCCGAAAGGTCCTTCACCTTCACCGTAACCGGCATGGTATGCATCTGTATATAAATTACTATCAAAATCCACATGTTGATTTGAGTTATATTTTTAACCGTGATGCTGCGAAACAATTACGCGCATTCAGGTAGAACACATACCAGATGTGTGTTGCGAGTCACGTCGCGACACCGAAAGTGTCACGAACGACAAACGTTGTAGGGATTCAACGGACGACTGGTCCACTTCACTTTCGATGCTTTTTTTATTGTGGCTCTACGGCGAACGTCGAAAATGCGTCGCTCTAAACAGTTAGATAAAAGTCCAGCTTGTTGTGAATTCTTAATAAGGAGACATTCCACAGAACAACTATGTAATCTTATTGTCAAATCTTATCCCTAAGAATTTTGGCTATATGTATGTTTTAAATATTATTAAAAGTTCTTAATATATTTATCATTATAAGAGTTAAGATTTCTTAAATGTCTACCTATAACATGTAATATATATAAAAGAGATATTCAGCTATGTTATCCTTTGACGAGTCATCTTCTGTGTACAGAACATGTGCGTTAGATTGGATAAAATATTAAAATTGATCTTTATGAGTCAATGGCACTTATACGCTTTTTCCTCTTACAGCTCAACAGCCTGCCGATTTAATCCTTTCACAAGTCTGCTTGGGCTGCATATGCGAGGTTACATCAGGATGTAACACCACCATCGGCTGCTACGATTCAGTATGTGGGCCCTTTGCCATAACGTGGGGCTATTGGTCTGATGCTGGTAAACCAACCCTGAACAACGAGCCGCTCAATGACAAGTGTGAGTTATTAATAATACTGGTATTAATGAATATTACCTTATAATAATAATGATAACAAACATTGTTTTCTCCTTTATTAGCTTACGCAAACTGTGTTAACGATCCTTATTGCGCCGCTAATACGATACAAGGATATATGAACAAATTCGGTCAGGTAAGATTAATTCTGCCATCTAGTTCGAACTTTTCGTTTGTGTGTCTTCACTAATATTATCGTATCAGTGTTATATGCGTATATTGCACATAAATTATTGTATGTCTGTATTAAATAGGACTGCACCGGAGATGGAGTGATCAATTGTGACGATTATTTGCGTATTCATCGATTGGGCGGATATGGTTGCACTGGTCAGCTAGATAAGAAATATGAATATAGATATAAACTGTGCATGCAAACTTTCGGTCAGTAACACGTACATTATGTTAGAACCGAAAGACATTCTATTATCTATAGTCGTATATGTATGAATAAATCTGATAAAGACTTACAGTATATTTTAGTCGCATATTTAGAATGTATAACTGTTAATTTGTATCATATAGTGATACAGTACCTTAGTCTGTAGTTTCATTTGCTATATAATGTGATTTTTGGTAAATAAATTTACAAGAATTGTAACATTTTATAATAAATTTATGAAAAAAAATCATGAGTTGCCATTTACTTAAGTGATATATACAGTTGTTGGAAATCTTGATTCTCCAATTCTCTTATGTATATATACGTATATATGCATACGTGTGTGTTAAAAAACTTTTAAAATATAACTTTCGAATCGCGAGCATTTAAAATTTGATCTACCAATTCTGTTCGTTTTTGCAATAATGTACTCTGTTTCTGTAGATTTTCAGCAGCATAAATATTTTTTACAAGAAAATGACTTATAAATAATCTAAGACTTTCTCTGAAAGTCTGCAACTTTGGAGACAACGATATTCTTTGGAATACTTCTAAGCAGGCCTCCCCATTTTCATGTAACAGTATTCCCAACATAATTTGTCGTACAAGCCTCATAGTAAGCTTATCCAACTCGGTAAATTGGATTATCTGCAATTATCCGAATTAACTATATGATAATAAATGTCATAAAAAAAGTAATAGGAAATACGATAAATATCCATATACCTTCAAAACGGAAAGAGGAAGACCCTTTTCTAAAAACAGGTGAGTCAAGAATTTTGCCAGATTTGTTAGCTGTTTGGTGTTTAAATCATTCAATGTCTTCAACTTATCCCACAGTGCATACTGTATAGTTAACTGTAATAAATAATTACCAACCATTAAACTATGATAATTGGTTTACTATAAATAAAGTTATATACACTTTATACTTAAAATTATATTTACATACCTGATATTTCCTATCAGCGTCGCACAACTTCTGTGCCAATATAGCATAATAAGGATTAAACCTTTTCTCCTGGATACAACAACTAATGATAACATAAATTACTTCCCTCTGCTGCTGATTTTTCAAGCCAAGATGATGGATTTTTTCAAATGCATCTAGATAATCTTCAGCTGTCATAAGAACGCAAAAGATATCTCTTCTGATATTGGTATTCATTCTCTGCTTTCGTGCTAATTCTAGTATTTTTTCACTGTATTTTTGTTGATTGTTCTCTGAAGTTTTCTCTAATTTACCAATATCCTTGAGGCCAGACCAAGCAGATCCTACTACCCACCATTTTCCTCTCTCATCGGCTGTATAAAAAATATAAGTAATATATAATTCTAATATGTAAATATAGCTATATATTTTCATAATATATGTGCAATTTCTTGTGTGTGAACATACCTTCTAATAAATCTTCTAGAGTCACATTAAATTGTGTAACATTACAGCCTTTGTGAATAAAATTTTTCAAAATTTTCTTCAAATGTTCTATCCAAGTTGGATCATATTGAGGTATTTTGCTCATATTATTATTTTTTATCGCCAATAATATATCTAACATAAATTTGATCCTTGAACTATATTGATAATAAAAAATGTCAGATAAAAAATAAACGAAAATACATATTTGTAAAAAAATAATTAAACATAAAATCAATGCAAACGGGAGTACAAGTACTCTTTTTACTTGTGATAATTTAAAATATAAAACTTATAACAATATAAAACTTACTTTTCCTGAGTAGAATTACTCGCCTTCTGTTGTAAATTTAATATAAGCTCTTTCAATGCAAGTGGATCGTCTTTCCTCAACAGGAAGCCCACTGTCCTTAAAATCAGCAAAATTAATTCAATTTCTTTCTCTGTGAATTTTGCCGACAGTTTTTCTAATATCTGATATAAAAGACGATGACCATATACCTGCAAAACAAGGGGGAAAGTTATAGAATAGAATTACAATCATTCTTGCTCTGCAAAAAGTTACCAAAATTACTAAGAACATTACCTTGAAATTATAGAGATGCGAGATCATAAGAATTATATTATCCAACTCTTTATTCTCGATACTATGAGATTCACCTAACATCTGATGAAGCATTTTTACAGAAGTCAACAGAAAATGCGCACCAACTTCTGTACCAACATTTGCATGTAATACAGCAATTAACATCATATGTTCAGAGATAAGTCGATCCGGTGTTAGTACTGGTGCAATTATAGCTTCCATCATCAGCTTGGATAACATTATATTCATATCATTTCGACTGTTTGACATGTACAACTCCTCCACCTACAATATTAAAAATATTCGTGTAATAACCTTTTACAAACTATTAATAAAATCCTTTTTTGATAGAAACATATAACTTACAATTGAATGATTAATATAGGATTGTGATGATGCTTAACTGAACAACTTATATGCATTTAAATAGCAAAATTACCTGATTTGCAATAGTATGCATGTTTTGCTCGGCCAATCTATTCAGAATACCTTTAAGTTGTCTTTCTAATCTACGAGCTTTTTCACTGTCAACAGAGATATCTGTACTTATACTTGCAGCAGGTGGCACATATTTCTTTGCTATGACATTGCCTTCTTTATCTCTCTGTCTACCATAAATATCCTCCCACAAGCCTTTGCTATCATCTGACTGTTTTGATGCATCACTATGTTTTGACTCTTCATTCTCTATTTCATCTTCACCATTTGTTGGATAACTTTTTGTTTTCATGTTTATTCTGTCTGTTTCTTCTGAAGAAATATCATCTTCACTAATAGCCATGTTCAAATCTTCTTCAAATTCTGCACTCAATCCAGTTTCTAACAATTGTTTCTCAGTTTCTACCATATGATTCCTATCCTCTGAATCACAAAAATCCAAAAGATCTGATATAGATGTTAAAGAACAATTTATAAAAACAATATAATATAATAAATACATTTATGACATAAATATGTCCCTTTACAAAAATTTATAAAATATTTATCATTTATGCAATATTTATGCAATTATGCAATAGTAAAATATTTATTTCAAATGCTTTCTAAGACAAATATATAAATTATTTTCTAGCATAATGTTCTAATTCCAAACAAAAATTATGTTCAAAATATTTGTATAATGGATGGAATTATTCAAATTTAAAATGTCATATTAAAAATTATAGAATTACAAAGGATACAATCTAACCCATCTGCAACAAAAGACTTAGGAACAGATTTACTCTTCCTTTTGTTTAATTTCAATCGTTTTTCTAACTGTTTAATCATTTTGTCTTCTTTTACATTTGCCTGTATTAATTGCTCTATTTTTCGTTTTTTTATCTTTTTATTTTTTTTCCTCTCACTGGTAGTTTTAGCTTTTCCCTTTTTAGCCATCTTTAATGGTATTTATTTGTTTTATACAGTACGTGTTGCCGTGCGCAAAGTCAACTAGCGGATCGACGCTGCATGGTGAGCGGCCTGGCTCCCTCTCGCCAGAGAGGAACGTGAGAGCGGCCAACACGATGTTTTCGACGACACCGACTTTCCGCACTGGGAAAGGGCGCCATCTGCATCCATTTTGAGAGGGGAATTACTATGCTACACAATGCTACATCAATGCTACTATGCTATACAATGCTACATCCACTTTCAGGTTTCGGCGGTAAAACCTGTATGTGGTGGCAGTCCGTGCTACATCCATTTTTAGGCGGTTTATGTCCGTACTACAACCATAATAGCGTACTTGACAAGCACGGTCTCGCACATTGTTACGCGTTTATAATATGAATTAACATGTTAACATATGCAAAAAAAAGAATTGACATTGTGTATGATTAATATCATGAAGATCATACGAAGTGTCCGGTAATTAGCTGCCAACCCGAAGTGTGAGGGTAGATTGGGTCAAGGCAAACATAAAAGTCCTATATCATTTTGCGAGATTCGCAATAATTATCGAGTTATTAATGACAGAAATCTGAGGAGTAAAAGCGCGCCGATATAAATGATTCGAAAAGCGTTGCAGCTGCTCGGGGCAGCGATCATGAATCTTTTCCCTAGCGTGAACTAATAAAAAGTGAAAGACTTCTGTGAATCAGTGAAAAATGAAAAATTTTATATGAATTTGTGAAAATCGAAACATTTCACACGACAATTGAGTCGTTCAACATGGCAGTTGCGCGTTCTGGATAATTCAATGAATACCAAAGAAATCAAATTGATCAAAATAATAATGTCCGTGTAGTCCGAAGGATATTACGTGACACGCAAAATCCGTTTAATATAATATCCAAAGAAAATGTTTCAAAATATGTATGTATGTATGCAGGTAATATAAACCTTATGCACCGACGAGATATACTACAAAGACTGATGACCTTACGGGATTTAGCGTACCAGAGAAATTTCCCTGGTGAGGCACTCGGGTGAAAGAGACCGTCTCGCATTTAGCGCAGTAAAATTTAATGGGAACTAATACTTTTCAATCCTTTTCTTCGGATCAAAAAGATTCAGAATTCAGACATATTCAAAACGTCAATGCTTTTTAATACGTTTCAATTCGACATTTTATACAGGGAAGCAGGACGAAGGGAATGGGATGCGGGCAACGATACATCATGCGTCTCCAGACGTGTCAAATCGTTTATTATAGAGGAGACTTTGATACGGCAACATGCATTCGAATATTTAATCGTCCCATGGACCACTTATATATAATAATAAAAAAAAATTAACGCGGATAAATGAACGATTCGTATCAATTTTTCCTTTTCTTATAGAGCAATGAAAGAGTAAATCAGTATCGAAAATCGAATACCGATTAATACCATAAATCAGTGTCAAAAAATTGCCCAATGACAATTTGTTCTCATTTTTCAGGTAGTTACCGCTGTAATTTACACAACGAATTAACTCGGTTAAACGAACGATTCGTACCAATTTCTCTTCTCTTATAAAGAATTGAGAGAATAAATCAGTACCGAAAATCGAAGGCCGATCAATACTTAATTTATTCATCAAATTAACGCGGATTAATGGACGATTCGTATTAATTTTCTGTTTTCTTATAAAGAAATGAAAGAATAAATCAGTACCGAAAATCGAATATCGATTAATACCATAACTCAGTGTCAAAAAATTGCACACGTGCAATGATAATTTATTCTTATTTTTCAGGTACATACCCCTCTAATCTTATTCAACAAATTAACTCAGATAAATGAACGATTCGTATCAATTTTTCTCTTCTTATAGAGAAATGAAAGAGTAAATCAGTACCGAAATCGAAGACCGATCAATATCTTACTTATTCATCAAATTAACTCGGATAAACAAACGATTCGTATCAATTTTTTTCTTCTTATAGAAAAATGAAAGAGTAAATCAGTACCGAAAATCGAATATCGATCAATACGGTAAATCAACGTCAGAAAATTGTCCACGTATAATTACAATTTGTTCTTATTTTTTAGGTACCTACCCCTCTAATTTACTCAACAAATTAACTCGAATAAACGAATGATTCATACCAATTTTTCTTCTCTTATAAAGAAATGAGAGAATAAATCAGTACCGAAAATTGAAGACCGATCAATATTTAATTTGTTCATCAAATTAACGCGGATAAATGAACGATTCGTATGAATTTTTTTTTCTTATAGAGAAATGAAAGAGTAAATCAGTACCGAAAATCGAATATCGATTAATATTATAAATCAGTGTCAAAAAATTGTCCAAGTGCAATGACAATTTGTTCTCATTTTTCAGGTATTTACCCCTCTAATCTTATTCAACAAATTAACTCGGATAAACGAACGGATCGTATCAATTTTTTTGTCTTAAAAAAATGAGAAAATAAATCAGAACCGAAAATCGAAGACTGATCAATACCACAAATCAATGTCAAGAAAATTGTCCAAGTGCAATGACAAGTTGTTTTCATCTTGCAGGTATTTACCCCACTAATTTATTCAACAAATTAAGTCGGATAAAAGAACGATTCGTATCAATTTTTATTCTCTTATAAAGAAATTAGAGAATCAGTCAGTACCGAAAATTGAAGACCGATCAATATTTAATTTATTCATCAAATTAACGCGAATAAATGAACGATTCGTATGAATTTTTTTTTTTTATAGAGAAATGAAAGAGTAAATCAGTACCGAAAATCGAATATCGATCAATATCGTAAATCAGTGTTAGAAAATTTTCCAAGTATAATGACAATTTGTTCTCATTTCTCAGGTATTTATCCCTCTAATTTACTCAACAAATTAACTCGAATAAACGAATGAGTCGTATCAATTTTTCTTGTCTTATAAAGAAATGAGAGAATAAATCAGTACCGAAAATTGAAGACCGATCAATATTTAATTTGTTCATCAAATTAACGCGGATAAATGAACGATTCGTATGAATTTTTTTTTCTTATAGAGAAATGAAAGAGTAAATCAGTACCGAAAATCGAATATCGATTAATACTATAAATCAGTGTCAAAAAATTGTCCAAGTGCAATGACAATTTGTTCTCATTTTTCAGGTACTTACCCCTCTAATCTTATTCAACAAATTAACTCGGATAAACGAACGGAACGTATCAATTTTTTGTCTTAAAAAAATGAGAAAATAAATCAGAACCGAAAACCGAAGACTGATCAATACCACAAATCAATGTCAAGAAAATTGTCCAAGTGCAATGACAAGTTGTTTTCATCTTGCAGGTACTTACCCCACTAATTTATTCAACAAATTAAGTCGGATAAAAGAACGATTCGTATCAATTTTTATTCTCATATAAAGAAATTAGAGAATCAGTCAGTACCGAAAATTGAAGACCGATAAATATTTAACTTATTCATCAAAATAACGCGGATAAATGAACGATTCGTATGAATTTTTTTCTTATACAGAAATGAAAGAGTAAATCAGTACCAAAAATCGAATATCGATTAATACCATAAAGCAGTGTCAAAAATTGTTCAAGTGCAATGACAATTTGTTCTCATTTCTCAGGTATTTATCCCTCTAATTTACTCAACAAATTAACTCGAATAAACGAATGATTCGTATCAATTTTTCTTGTCTTATAAAGAAATGAGAGAATAAATCAGTACCGAAAATTGAAGGCCGGTCAATATTTAATTTATTCATCAAATTAACGCGGATAAGTGAACGAGTCGTATCAATTTTTTTTTCTTGTAGAGGAATGAAAGAGTAAATCGGTACCGAAAATTGAATATCGATCAATACCAGAAATCAGTGTCAGAAGATTGTCCAAGTGCAATGACAATTCGTTCTCATTCCCGAGTCTTTCCCGAGTCGAAATATTAATTCTACATTGATCCTGCAAATTGCATCCAATTTGAAAAATCAATGCAGAATATCTAGATGCGCAATAGTGAACAAGCTTTGTCCTACCTGAACGTTACATCTGGCTACTCTCGCAGTCTCGCCCATGGTGAGTCTTCAACAGCGACGTATTCCGCAGTTATTTAATACTCGTATATCTCGATAATGTATATGTACTTAATCCTTATATTCTTAATTTAAATGAGCAATTTTTGTTGATTTTGATTATATATTCGCTTAACAGCGCAAGAAAGAGAACAAAGATAAAAACGTAAATAGAACTGCCTTTGTTAGAACTGCGCGTGAGATAAATATATAAGGATTAAATAATCATATAAGAATTAGAGGAAATGGGGGATGAAAAACACTTTTTATTCTCATCATTCTTAAAGTTCTTTTTTCCTTTTTTCTTCTCTTTTTTTTTTCTTATCTTTTTTCTAATGAGAATGATGAGAATTGTAGCTCTTAAAAGAGCTGAAGCTGCAAAAAGACAACGGTTATGTCTAATAATGCTGTTTCACTAATAGAGATTTTAATTCTGATTCGGTACAATAAGAAAGATAAACAAGAATGAGAAACGGACATTCTAGCAGATTCTAAACGAAAACAGCAATCTGAGCATTATTAGACGAATAAAAATCAACACTTGTAAAATTTATATCAGATTCTAAGATCATTATTCATAGTTTTTTTTAAATTATGTGCAATTTTTCATTGAGAACATAATTAAAAATTTGTATTCATAAACCTTAGCTTGCCTCAGCAACCTTGCTTGAATAGACATTCATATTTACGAGAAAAGAAAAGTAGAACTCATGTTACGTGAAATTAGTTTAACGAATAATCAAATCTCAAGCTATTTTTCAGATGATAAACTATGAATGCTGATCTAATTTCGACTCGGGTATGTCCTTACTTCGAGTAAGGTCCGTTAAAATTAGAAAAATCCTGCATAATAATAATTACTCGAGGTACCTCGAATATCATACATGATGTATCGCTGTCCTCGGCTACGTCTCTCGGCGCGCTCCGAGTCCTCTCTCCATCCTGACTTCTCGATCCGACGTCCTCCTTCTGGTTACTCCGTCGCAGCATCCCCGGATACTCCATCGTAGCACTGGCGACGACACTGACTCTAGCTCTAACACTCGCGCAAGTAAGATTCGGGG